TGTGTGTTTTGCGGTCACACGGCGGCAGCCATGTAAATTTAAATGAAGCCGCGATCATTTAAATCGCGGCTTCATTTGCCTTTGCCCAATAAACAAATCTACATGGCTCCGTCGATGGAGCCATGTAGTGTAGACGTACCCCTAGAGAGAGAGAAGCATGAACAAAACATCCCAGTCCAAAAGCACCAAGGTTTGGAGCAAGAAGCTTGGCTCCGCTTATGAACTGTGCAGCCAGTTCACCAATGTGTGAACCTGAACGCCAGCCCCAGGCCATGACCCCTTCTAAATTTGGTGAGAAATTCAGAGCTGGAGCAGAACTGTGCAGCTCAGACCCATTTCTCCTGGCAAAGCGCTCCTAAAGACAAATGTGTTCTGTGCAAAGACCCAGCATAAGAGTTAGTTAGATGCTACTTAAATCCCACAAGGCCAAGTGAGACTTATGTGGTGCTAGGCCTTGTGCTAACATTCCACTGTACTAAGGTCCATTTTCACACAGCAGTGATTCAGAATGATTTGACCCTTGCTGCTCTGTGTGGCTTTCAGGATGGGTTCAGGATGGCATAAATGCCAGTTCAACCCAATCTCCTAATGTCTGTTTTAGAAAAACTGCAATATTTAATAACTAGGGTAGACAGATGGTTTCAACAAAAACTCCGGACACACTTGACATATCTCACAATCTACATTACATCTTAGTTAGAAAATACTGGACATTTCTAGTTTCTCATTTCTATTTTCTCAATTTGTTTCCCAAACAGAAAGCTCAAATATTGGACTGTCCGGATCAAAACCGGACACCTGGCAACCCTATTAAGAACAGCGAATCCCATGTTTCATGCAAAAGAGAGCTTTGTAACACACTAAAGAGGAAAATCATTTCTGCTAAAGATCTGCACTGGGCTTGGGAAGGAGAGAAACCCGGAGTACTCACGAATGAATAAGTGGAGTCATTAAAGAATAACTTTAAATAAGCAAAATGTTGAGTTAATGAAGCCTGTAATTCTGAACTAAGTATCTGAAAGCAAATGGGCTGTTTTCTTTTACCCTTGCTTCTTAGAATTAGCTGCAATATTATAACTTTTTAATGTACCGTGAAGGTATTTATTTCTTTATTTTGCTCTTAATGGGAAGTCAGCTGGTTTTCTAAGCTGCTTTAAAAAAAGAATCATGTTCTC